CCGCGGCAGCGGCCGAAACCCTGTGCGAGCCTTCTTTTTTCGCGCCGTTTTTGGCGGGCTCTTTACTGCTGTGCGCTGTGCTGCGATCCCTTCCTTCCCCGCCCGAGTCCGGTTGCTCGGGGAGGTCAGGAATCCGTCGTCTGCTTCCGGGTCCAAAAGGGGGGGGGAGGGGGGGGGGGGTCCTCCTTCCTTTTTTTTTTTTTTTTTTTTTTTTTTGAAGTAGAGAATCCAGGGAGAAAAAACCTGAAGGGAAGAAAGAGAGGTCAGTGCAAGGAAAAAAGGAAAGATAAAAGGCAAAAGTTTGGCAAAGCCTAAACACGCTGCTCTCCCTCTTGAGGCAGGAAAAGAACTGAGGATGAGGGTGACTCCCACACAGGAAACAGGAAGTTCTTGGAAGTCCTGCCTCCCTGAAAGGAGGGTGGGAATCACCCACAATCAGATGTCCTCCAGCTCAGAGGGAGAAGTGGGGAATCAAACCTGGTTCTCTAGATCAGAGTCTGCCACGTTTAATCACTACACCAAGGCTTTACAGAGGTGTCAAACTCATTAGTTAAGAGGGCCGGATCTGACAAAGTGCCGTAAAATGCAACATGAGGTACCAGAGATATAAACTTTATAAAGATTATTTCAGATGCCGAATGGCAATATGCTTGATTGGATTAGGTGTGGAGATATTATCACTGGTAATGAGACAGGTAACCTAGGTCTCAGTTTGGTCCAGGAGGATTCAGTCCAGGAGGATGCAAAGAATAAATGGACATAAGTCTGAAGAAGTGAGCAGTGACTCAAGAAAGCTCATACCTTGCCACAAATTTTGCCATTGGACCCTTACTCAGCTATAAGAAACCATAACATCCAAAAAATAGTGGGGGGACATTTTAACCTTCCAGGGCACTCATTTGCTGACCTAAGAGTAGTAGTTCTCTTACAAAGGGATTTCAAAGCAAAGTTAAAAAGAGAGACTGATGAATTGCAACTGATAATGACGCTCAATGCATCCTCCTGGGCTGAATTGAGGCCTGGCTTTCTTCTCTCGTTACCAATGACTGCTATTGTTATTTGGCATCTGAAAACACTTCACTCTCCAAGATTAAAGGACAAATGGACTCATACTCTAGCTGTATCTGAAGAAGTGAACAGTGGCTCCTGAAAGCTCGTGCCCTGCCACAAATTTTGTTAGTCACTAAATTGTACCTTTTTTTCCTTCTTTGCTTCCACTGCATTTTTCCTACCTTGCAACCCGCTTTCTGCATTATAGGTCGTGCCTTAAACAGTTTTTTTGGCTGTTTGCATTGTTTTCCAGTTCTGTAACCCTACTCCATTCTTTATTAGATTATTTGTGCTGTTTGATAGAGTTGTTTACACTTTGTAAAGAAAATAAATAGTAAAGATTTACCACAGAGTAATATCCCAGGATGTATATATTACTTAACCAAAGCACATCAAGATGGGTAGCCATGTTAGTCTGTCTCAGGGGTAATTTCCTGCGGGAGCACATGCAACAAGCCCCGCCCCTGCTCCCAGCAGCCCTGTTGGCAACGAGGAGCAAGAAGCAGCCAGGTAAGTTGCAGAGCCCCCCCCAGCCCGCCTTCAGGTACAAGCTCTCCCTCCTCTGTGAGGGCAGATCTGCACGTTCCCCCCCCCCCATAGCTAGCAATCCAAAACAGTCCAGTGGAACCTTTAAGACCAAGTTTTATTCAGGTACAAGCTCTCCCTCCTCTGCAAGAACAGATCTCCATGTTCTCCCCCCCCCCCAATAGCTAGCAATCCAAAACGGTCCAGTGGAGCCTGAGCGGTGGATGTTGCCTTCTGACACACTTCCAGTGATGTCAGGGGAGTGGCATATAAATTATGCTAATGCATTATGCTAATAGGCTCCTGCACCTCTTTTTCTGCAAAATGACCCCTGGTCTGTCTGCAGCAGCAGCAAAGAGCAAGAGTCCTATAGTACCTTAAAGACTAACAAGATTTGTGGTAGGGAATGAGCTTTCTTGAAGCACTGCTCTGAAGAAGTCAGCAGTGACTCACGAAAGCTGTCATACCCTGCCACATATTTTGTTAATCAAAGCAGTATTACTTTTAGTATCAGTTAATCTCTCCTACTTGCATCACGGTAGTTTAAACCTTACTTCTGAACTCCTTGAGTACTCTCTTATATAGGAATACATTCCCAGATACATTGTCAACAAAAAAAGGCATTCAGAGTTCATAATTTGTTTTGGGGTTTTTTTTTGGGGGGGGGGGGTGAGATTACAAATTGACTAGTTTGGTATCAAATTATTTCCGCTAGGTGCCCAATACAGCCAACCTCTATGTGGAAACTGTAGTATGGGTGTGAATTATAGAGTTTATACTGGGGTCAACTCGCGAAAGGTTTGCGGCTCCCAGCCTCGCTTCGTCTGTCGAGGCACGGCACGTAGCCACCCCGCCCCGCCGTCTTGTCCAGCTACCACCTGTTTCCGGGTAGGCAGGGCTGTCTGCCAGGAGCCCCTTTCCAGGGCCTTTTCCTCTCCTCTCCTCCGCCCCGGGTTTGTTCCTCAGCAAATGAAAATAGGCATAAGATCAATTTTACAAAACTAAGCTAGCCAACCAACTAAATCACAGATCTAACCGCTTATAATTAAGTGCGCTGCTCCTGTGAAAGATTCCATCAGCAGCGCTCTGTACTATAGAAAACGGAACCTCCGCCCCTTCAACCATAGTTTCATCACGTGACCCCCTCGTTCTATCCAGGAACGGTGAAAGTGCTAACAAGAGGTACTGGAAGGCTTCAAAGTTGCAGCTTTGTGTTTCAATAGCGCATGTGTATAGGCGGAAGATCATACGCATGCGTGCTAGCTAAATAGGAGGAAGTTCGATTAGTGAACAGCCCCGCCGGCCGGCAGATTGCGCATGCTCACCAACTCGAAAGAAAATGGCCGCTGCGGCCAAGGTTTCGGGTCTTAAGTTCAGTGTTTCAGCTGGAGGCTGGAAGTCTGTAATTACGACCTGTTGACATCGCGGGTGGTGAGTGGTGGCTGCGGTGCTCCTTTAGTTATTCTCTGATGTTGTCTTGTCTATTATAATATTGTTTTATTAGTTACTGTAGATTTTCCGGGCAGTATGACTGTGGTCTTGGCATTAGCAGCTGTGACTGGCATCCTCAGAGGTATAACACAGAAAAATGGAGTACTCTCTGTGTCTCTGTGACATAGCTGCTGGTGAAACATCAGGTCCTATAACGCCAAGACCACGGCCATACAGCCCGGAAAATCTACAACAACTAATGAACTCCGGCCGTGAAAGCCTTCGACAAAATATTGTTTTATGTTACTTTTTTCTGATTGTGTATATACGGTTGTCAGGTTCCCCCTGGTCGCCGGCGGAGGATGGGTGGGGGTAGGGTTGTCAGACCCAGGTTGGGGGACTCCTCGAGATTTGGTAATAGAGCCCTGGGTGGCCTCAGTGGGGTACAGTGACATAGAGTCTACCTTCCGAAACATCCATTTTCTCCAGAACTATTTTTTAAAAATCTGAATTAAGCTGTAATTCCAGGAGATCCCTATGGGAATCTAAATATGAGGTGTCTATTTTGCCTTCCTTTAAGATAAAATAAAACATTATATTTATTTTTGCTATGTCATGGGATGTTCCTAGGGGTGTTTATAATTTGCATGAAACCTACATACCCATTTCAACTGGGGCATCCTGTGAAGTTTGGTTCTCCCCCCCACCCCTTAAAGTAAGGTAGCTTTGTTGTATTAAAAATATTTACATGACTAGGCTTGATTAGTTAAAATAATGAGTTTAGTTAGTCTTCAGCATTGTTGAAAAACCTGATGTCTTATACATTGTTCAATACTTGTTTCTGAAATTTCATCATGTATGTCTGTTTTGTTACATTTATCGTGGTGATAGGTCTTTAAATATTACAGCACACTGAATAGAAGCTTATGTAAATCACAGTCCCAAAGGCATCCCAAATTACAGTTTATTCTCTAATGCAATGCAGTATGCTAGTATCTGATATGCTGTGACAGAACTTGAAAGAAAAAAACAGGGAGCTGATTTGTACACAGAGAAGGGGCACCAGTAATGGCAGGGGACTGAGTGAAATCACTTCTGAGTGAAATCACCAATGGAAAGCTTTTTTGGCTGCATTTTTGCAGTCAATGAGAGATGAAGATGGGTTGCGATATCAATTCCTTCTTGTCATGATAGATCTCCTTACTGTATGGCATTTTTTCTGCAAGACCCTCTCATCTCCCCAGTATTGGCTATTTGGAGGGGTGAGGGGAAAAGATCTGCTTCCATGAATGCCTTGGGGTTGATGTGTTGGTCCCTGAGAAATCATTGTCCTTCTTTGTGCTCTCTGGGAAGGTTTATCAGTACTGGAATAGTGAATATTGGGAACAGATTCAGTAGCATCCTATACATTTAACCAACATCCCTATGTAAACATGTGCTTCTGATGTTTCCTTTCCTCCAAGTGTTTAGTAGTTACATGTACATAAAAGACAGGTGTGTTTCTCTCCAGTGAAAATACAGAAGTGATTGCCAGTTTGTCCCAGGAGCCCAGAGGGCGTAGCCTGAGTCTTAATAAGGCTCAGTGTGCTGTGTGGTGGTACTATGTCTTGAAATGATACACTGAAGGTTCTGAATGGAGAGCTAATGGCTGTCAGGCAAGAGCACTTAGAACTGACTGCTATCTGAGCATGGAAGCATCCTGAATATAAACGTAGTGCCATGGTTATTATATATCAGTAAACATGATTTTGATAAACAGCTTGTCTGTGATATAATGCATATTACCCATATCATTTTTGTGTACATGTTATAAATGTATAGGCTGCTATTGATTCTCTTTCTAGGGATTCATTATTCCTGTACTAATTAATATTTTTTGCTATAAATAAATTAAGAATGTAAATACTTATCATGTAAAAGGTGTGTTAGATGGTAGAATCTGTCCTTAGCGTAATGGGCTTCGCTCTTCTTCTTACAAATGAGTAATCACCATGTCATCATAAGTCTGGTATTAAGAGGTTCCATGCATGTTTGACTCCCAACATCTCTTTAAATATTACTCACAGGGGAGTACTGTAGTTCCCATTATGATTTTGTGAGTAATGTATGTATTTACACATAATTAGATGTGGGGCTCCTCCTGCTCCTGGCCCACTAATTGCCCCTCTGTTGTGTGAGGAGGTGGTGTTCCCTCTAAGCTGAGTTAGTGTGAGCTAGTGCACAGTTTTTTAGCCTCCGGCTCACACATTTTTGTCTTAACTCAGAAAGGATGGCGCCAGAGCAAACTAATTCATGCAGTAGCCAAATTGCTCACTCACAACTTTAATGCCAGTATCTCACAAAGTAGAAATTTTGCTCATAAGACTCCACAGCTTAGAGGGAGCATTGGTTGCAACACCAGGATCCTCCTCCACTGATCTCTGCTCCCCAGCACTCTGAGCAGGATGTGGGTCCTCTTTAGATACCCAATGGGATATCACTCCCTCATGGCCACTTCTACTCCACCTGGAAGTCCTAGTGATTGGAAGCATGCTCTCATTGACATGGCCATGTTTCTTCTGCCACCATCGATCTGGCTTTATGCCAGATGCCTTTTCCCCAACCATCTGACTGCTTGGCTACTTACTTCAGAGTCCAGCACCACCCTTACTAGATGCCTGCTAGGTTGCTTCTTTCTTGAGGAGTCATCCCTGCAATTTTCCTGCGGCCCCATCCTCCACAAGCCCACTCTAGTTGCACTGTGGCTCGGGTGGGTGGCACCAGGCCAGCCTGACCAAGCAAGAGCAGGTGGTGCCATCCCAACAGACTGGTGGCACAAGAGGGTTGTCCTAGGTGCCTGCTGATATGATGCAAGGAAAAGGAGGGCTTACATTGCTGCAGATGATAAGAGCCGGTGGGGTCCTGCTACCCAACATCAGGCTAATATTTGGGGGCCCAATATCTTTTATTTTCCTTGTTTTTAAAACACTTTCAGTATAAAGAAGTCCAGTTCTCTGTACAGAAGGAAAATTTAATGAAAATAGTACCTGTTGCACATTTTTTTGTTTTTGCTTTGTACAGAATGTGGTCCTTTTGATTTAAGCACATTCCAGTGTACAATGGAGATTTCAGTATGAGCTCCTTGTATCATTTCACAGAAAGCCACAACTAAAGATTTAATGTATCTTATATTAGCACACAATACTGACTTTTCCTAAAAATATCATGCTTCTGATGAAAGGTCTAATGATTTCTATTGATTATTTTTGCCCATTTGGCTTCTTCAGGAGTGTAAATTTGATGACTATAGTAGCCATTCCTGGGGGGAGGGGGGTGATTTTGTATATTTGTCAGACATGTTCTTTTCAACAGATTAATATTCTTGCTTGATTTCTTTTTTTTTTTCTGTTCTAGGTATCATTATGCGAAGTGATGTTTCTGTTTAAAATAAGATTTCTGGAGGGAAATAATGTTTTGATTACTTCAGTATTTATAAGTAATGTCAATTCAGTTGCCTTTAAATACCTGTGTGTACTTTGTAATTAGTTCAAAAAACCTTTGGGTTTGGCCGAGGACCTGGCAACTCCACTACTTGTATAGACCAAAGCTTTTTTGGAGGATAAACTATGTTATCCCTCTTAGAGGTTTCCACACAAACCGACCACATTGTAAATGGAGTAGAGGCAAAACACTGTGGTGTAATAAGCATCTCTACTGCCATGACTTTTTGCATTGCAGGATTTTAAAACTTAGTACTTCTAAGGAATTAACAAACAATCGCATGTCACGATTCAAGAACACTTTAGAATCTGTTTCAAAAGCTGTGTCTGGAACTCACAGTGAGCTGGTTTCACGTATTGCTCGTCTAAAGCCTCATTCTGGTGTACTGAGTAAATCGGCTGAAGAAAATGGGCAGGGAAATACTTTCCATGTTACTGTAGAAAGTGACAGGCAAACCAACAGCAGGTCTCAGGAAGAATGTGATGATAGTATAGATATAAAGAAGCCTGTCTTGGTGACTGGAGACCTAGATCCAGGTGGTCTTAGTCACGGTTCACTCAAAGATCTTGCAGATCTCAAAAACAGCCTTTTTCACGTTAGCTACTTTGCTACAAACTTTGGAGAAACGTACAACTTCCTTGCCAGTCACATCAATTGGTATTTTAGTACTAGTGTTATGGATAAAGAGAAGAAAGGGAGCTCATTCCCACCCAAGCTAGAGAATCAAACTGGAGAAGCACTTGACTCACGAGAAGAAGACATATTAAGTAATGAAAACAGGCTAAATGAAGCATCGGCTTTAATTCCTTCAGCTCAGTCTCCAGATTCTACAAAGACCAGCGTCACTCCTTCAGCTTCCAGCAAAAAAAGTATTGCAAATCTTCTTTCTTACCCCAGTAACAGTGTACAGGCCTTTGTGGATAGCTACATTGGAGGGCTGGTGCCCAGATTGCGTTCTGATACAAGATCCGCTTTGCAAGAAAAGATCAATGTACAGGAACCTGAGGAAATTTTGAAAGATGATGAAGAGACCAAAAGTGCTGAAGAAAAAGAGAAGAGGCTGTCTCTTCAAAGGGAAAAGGCAAGTCCCCCCCCCACATTTCCTTCCCCTTTACCTTGTATAAAACCATTTTACTGGGGGGCAAAGGAGAAGCCCATGAGAAAAACTGCCTGCCATTGATATCCTGAACTAGGGCTCTGGCCACTGATTTTACTGTCCTCAGTGCTTAGGATATTTGGAGGACCATGAATTATTTTAGCTATGGGTATTTGAAACTATTTATGTGGCAAAGTACATATACAGCAACTTAGGTTATAACTATCATGAATCAAGTGATTTTAAATATGAAGTGGTGCTCCACAAATGTCCACAACAGCTGCTAGCCCTATGCTAGCACCACTGCCACAGGAGGTGGTGGCGGCTACAAGCATGGACGGCTACAAAAGGGAATTAGATAAGCATATGGAGCAGAAGTCCATCAGTGACTTCTGCCACAAGGTATAGATAGGGACTCTGGGGCAAGTGATGCTCTGTCTTCTTGGTGCTTGGGGGGGGGGGGTCAGCAGTGGGAGGGCTTCTAATGTCCTGGCCCCACTGCTGGACCTGATGGCACTGGTATTTCTGGCCACTGTGTGACACAGAGTGTTGGACTGGATAGGCCTTTGGCCTGATCCAACATTAGCGTATCTTATGTTCTTATGATGATACATACCTATGTATGACATATCAACAGCCTGAAATGAATGAGCCATTATCTTTTTTAAAAGTCTGCTTGCTTGGGCCCAATTTTTACTTGCCACAGGCAAGCAACTAGTCCTACTCAACCTCTCAGGCCTATTTTTTGAGAATTGCCATGTTAATATATGTGAAATATGTTCAGAGCTGTAAAGGGCCATATGAACACTAAGTGAAATTAAACATCTTCTGTATCTGGGAGGAGGAGTCACCTGTTCACCACTTCTCCACAATACAACAATAAATTACTAAAAGCAGATTTTGAAAAGTATTGGTCAGCATATCCCCTCTCATGCATATTTCTGTTAATCATTTGTGATTAAAAAAACCCTTAGTAAAAAAAATCCATGATTCCCTCAGCCATAATGATTTCCCCTTTTGTAGCATCTGAAGCAGTCAGTTCTGACTTATAGGAACTCATGCTGAAATATTGTTCATCTTTAAGGTGCCACTGGACTTCTGTTAGGTTAAGGATAGACTTCATATTTGCTATGACAATGTAAGTGGATATTTACACACTTGAGATAGATATGTGTGTGTGAGAAAATAACATTTGGTTTCAAAGTACATGTTTATTTCCATACTGGAAACAATGTTAGTCTGTTGGAGCAAAAAAAAAAAAAAAAAGCAGTTTTGTAGAATCTGGATTAAAATTTAACAAGTTTACAAGGGCCAGAGCGCTCTTCATTAGATTCATGAAGTGGTTACCCAAGTGCACATAGCATATAAACAAACTCTAGCAAAATAGTTGGGCTAGTCTGTTATTAAAAGCTTGTGCTTCAATGAATCTTGTAGTCTATAAGTTTGTGCCATTTAAGGCATCACAAGAATATTTTTAGTAAAGAAATTTACCATTAATATCAATGTTTTTTTCTTAGATTATTGCAAGGGTGAGTATTGATAACAGAACCCGGGCGTTAGCTCAAGCATTACGAAGATCATCTAACAGAAGAGTCTATATCAACAGGGTTGAAGAATTGACATACCATCTCTTGGAATTTCCAGAAAGTAGAGGAGTAGCTATTAAGGTACAAATAACCTGGCGCTTAACAATTGATAATGAATAAGGAATATAATCATAATTGCTCAAAAATCTAATTGTAGAACTATTAAGTGTGAACTGTGCACTTTGCCGCACATCTTGGCTTTTGCATAATATTCCAGATATGTCAGGTGTTAATGTGGAAGATCTGGAATGTGTCATAGGCCTCTAGACTTCCCGGTTCCAGAAACTTGTTACGTGTGAATCTGCAAACTATGGTTTGCCCTTGTCTTTAAATCAAGTTGGAAGTGGGCTTCCAATTTAGGATGGACACACTGAACCACGAAGCAACATTCATCACACATTTTGCCCTGTTTGTGGTTTGTGAACCAAAGTTCATGACAGGTCTACCATCATGAACTTCCACAAACTTTTAAATCAGTTTATGGCGATTTGTGGATAGAACAGAAATCAGGGATTCTGAGTCCTTCTAAACTCCTGCTTCCTATTCCCCTCAAAAGCCGCAAAAACAGCTGAGTGGTGGGGAGCAGCCTTTAAAGCGACTGTACCAGACAATCCACGAAAGCCTGAAAAACAGCTGAGTGGCAGGGGCTGTCTTGTGCAGTCCCTTTAAATGTTAAAAGGAATGCACAAGACACCCTGAAACAGCTGAGCGGCAGGGAGCAGCCTGCTCCCTGTAGCTCAGCTGTTTTTCAGGCTTTCTGTGAACCCTGCTTAAAGAGACTGCAGCCCCTTTCAACAGGGTTTGCAGTGCCACAAACTGGTTCACTTTGCAAGTGAACCTCCGATTTGGTTTGTGGTTTGGCCACAACGACAACAAGAAAGGCTTTACCAGCTGACAGAAGATGATGAGAGAGGGAGATGGACAGATCTCCCCGGCAATGTTCCCTCTAAGCTCTGGAGTCTCGTGAGCAAAAATTCTACTTTGTGAGCTACTGACATTACAGTTGTGAGTGAGCGATTTGGCTACTTCATAAATTAGTCTGCTCTGGAGTAGAGATGTGAAGGCCCGGGAAAAAAATGGAAAAATTCGGGGAAAAACCGTTTCCCCCCCGTTTTTTTCCTGAAGCCTTTTTTGTTTTTTTCCGAAAAATTGAAAAAAGAAAAAAAAATTGATTATGGAACGTTTTATTTTAACATGATGAATAAAATATTTTAAGACAAGGTGTTCAAATATTTTCCAAATCATTTCTAATATATATATATATAGTATCAGATTGATCTAATTTCTGTGCACTGAGGACAAGGAAGTCCTAGGTTACAAACTGAACTCTCCAATGCAAGAGCAAGATGCATTTCTTCCTTTAGGAGGTGCTATTATTAGAAGAAAATAAAAAGGTTTCAGTTTTGTTTTTGCATGTGGGTGGGTATTCTGTTTGTAATAATTGTTTGGATACACTATAGTTTTAATATGATAGTTGTGATAATTTCATGCCAAGTAAAAATTTCCATAGTCATATTTTATGTTCCTAAAGTAACAGAATGACTTTCAATCTAGAAAAGACAAAAAAAATGCTAATGTAGCATTTTTTTTCAATTTTTCTGAAAATTTCTGTTTTTCCCCGGAAAAAACTGGAAAAAAACCAGGGTTTTTTCCGAGCTTCAAAATTTCTGGAAATTTTACATCTCTACTCTGGAGCCATCCTTCCTGAGCGAGGATAAAATGTGTGAACCGGAGGCTAAAAACTGTGAGCTAACTCACACTAACTCAGCTTAGAGGGAACACTGCTCCCCGGGGAGAGAATTCCAGAGTTTTGGCACCATGACTGAGAAGGCCCTACTCACTTCAGATGGCAGGGGCACCAGGAATATGGCCTCCAAAGATGACTCAAAAGGTCAGGTAGGTTCATATGTGAGTAGGCTGCCCTTCAAGTATGCTGGCTCCAAGCCATATATGGCTTTAAAAGTCAATACTAGCATCTTGAATTGGGCCCAAAAGCTAATGGAGAGCCAGTGTAGATGGAACAAGACTGGAATGATATGGTCCTTCTGACCCACTCCAGTAAGTGTTCTGGTTGTAGCATTCTGCATGAACTGTAGCTTTCAGACACTCTTCAAACACAGCCCCAGGTAGAGCTCCTTGCAGTAACCAGATATTACCAGATTGTCAGCCGTGTTGGTTTGAAGCAGTAGAACAAATTTAGAGTCCATACCTTGAACAAATTTAGAGCTCATACCTTGAATAAAACTTTGTTGGTCTTAAAGGTGCCACTGGACTCTCAATTTGTTCTACTAATATTCCCAGGGCATGCATCACCGTGGCAAGATCTTTCCTTCCCTGGTATGGCTGCCCCTGGCTTACCAGCCAAAGGCACCCCTGGCCACTGACGCCACTCACTTATCCAACAAGAGGCACAAGTCAAACAGCACCTTTTAGCCATGATCCTGCTTCTTTAGGGAGAGTACAACCCCATCCAGAAGAGATCTCAGTGTTTGGGTCAGACCTTCCCCCTTGTCAGTAGTTACCTCCATTTTGTTGGGATTAAGTTTCAGTTTGTTAGCTTTCATCCATCCCACATTGCGTCCAGGCACCTTTTACAGTTTCCACAAGCTCTTGAGGATCTTTTGAAAGTGCAGCCATGCACAATTGACCATCTACAGTTATAACTGTTAAATTCTGATAAACTGGTTTTATTTCCCCCCTGTGGTTTTAAAATTAACTAGCTAGTCTTTTCAATAAGAGTTTTTAAAGACACTGTAACAGCATGATCCTGAGCATTTTTACTTGAAAAGTAGTTCCTCAAGTTTAATGGGATTTACTTCCTGAGAAGCATGCTCCGGACTATAACTAGAGTGAATTATATGTGACAAAAGTATCAAACATCCACATATTGTTTTCAAATACCTAGCGATCTCAGCTTTGTACTATTGTATGACTTCCAGTTAAATTAGTTCTCTCTAAATTTAAAATTTTTATTTCTAGGAAAAAATCATTCCCTGCCTGTTGCGTCTCAGACAAGCAAGTGATGAAGCCCTTGAGGCTGCCGTTAGGGAGGCGTTGGCAGTAATTGGATATACAGATCCTGTGAAAGGTTGGGGCATTCGTGTTCTCAGTATCGATGGTGGGGGAACAAGGTAGGTCAGAGTATGTTACCTCTGTGACTTCTACTGGGCTATATCCAGCTGTCTACAGACATTGCAGAGTGAGGCCCTCCCACAGTAGTCCACTGAGCTCTCTGTAAGTTTGTTTCTTGGGGGCCAGCACACCCTCAGAAAAAGCTTTGGAGGCAGAGTGGAGATCTGCAGTGCACGTGTTAGGGAAGCTGTGAAAATCACAGCACCTTTTTCTGAAGACTTAAGTGCCTGCACAAGTCTTCTGAACTGCATGGTTGGATCCATGCCACTCGTTCTGCTAATCTGAGATCAGAGAAAAAATACTAATTTTGCTGGTCCAGCTGCACATACAGTGTACATGCATACCATTGGCTCTACAGGCTTCCCACTTTTGGAGGAGCATTGCATTTATTTATTTATTAGACAGCCTAGTAGAAGAACTCTGACTTCATGTTGTTGATGTTTAATCAAAAATGGAAGAGTGACAGACTTAAAATGATGGACCGTAAAATAGTTTACCTGAAGGATGTTACATGCACATGTTCAGAGCATCTAATCCTTGAAAAAAAAATCACCATTCCCCAATATATGTAATTTAACCTTTGCCAGTTACAGATGAGGGTGGATAATTGCTTTTCTTGTACTGGGAATAGCCTCCAAAGCCCAATGCAACTGAGAGATTAAGTCTTCTCTTCCACCTGAATTCTGAGTAAATATAGAGGACTTGGTGAGGAGGCCATGGCAACTGCAATGAACAGCGGGCTACTTAAGCTTTGATGACTGTACAGTAGAAAGACGAAATAGAAGTATTTAAAACAAATAAAATAGCCAAACTAAATATGTGTCTACATATACTAGATGGCCTGTCAAGTGATTTGCAATCTACACTACAATCTTCATTAAAAATACCAGATAGGGGTTCATTTTCTTAATAACAATATCTGTAGAATTGTGCTTGTACACGGAAGCTTATACCTTGAATATAAAACTTTGTTGGTCTTCAAGGTGCCACTGGACTCAAACTTTGTTCTGCTGCTTCAGATCAATATGGCTACCGACCTGAATCAATTTTATGTGCCATCAGCTCAGTGACATCTTTCTCACATTTAAAGAACACAGCTTCAATTTCAGTTTATAGTTTCAATAATTAGTAATTTTTTTATCAAGGCAAGTATTCTAGTGTCTTTGGAGAGTGGAAATAGAATCCTACAAGTGGGAACCTACAAGAAGCCATCTCATTTCCCCCTCCCCCACCATGTCATCTTTTCTTTTCCTAAAAGCCCCCATAGCCTCTCCCCTTTCCTGCTTCTTTCTTTCCTTCTCACCCAACAGCTAATCTAGCTTTATCTGCCCCTCTGTCTTAAGTTTTCTCTTTCCCTCTAAAGCAGCTTGCATTATTCTCCTCTCCTTCTTTTGATCTTCACAACAACCCTGTGAGGTAAGCGAGGCTGAAAGTATGCAACTGGCCCAAAATCATCCAGTGAGCTTCCACAGCAAGATAGCAATTTGAAACTGAGTCTCCCAGACCCTACTCTGTAGCTCTAACAGCTACACCACACTGGATTTCATTGGGTGGCTGCTGTTGAACAGTAGCAAGCAGCCAGGCCTAGGAGAGTCATGCGAGTCAAGTAGTATCAAGTCACCCAGAGAGTGCTACTAGGCCTAGGGTTGCCAGCCTCCATGTGGGACCCGGACATACCCTGGAATTACAACTGAACTCCAGACAATAGAGATCTGTTGCCTTGAAGAAAATGGCTGTTTTGAAGGTTGGACTCTGTGCAATTATATCTGGCTGAGGCTTCTCCCCTCCCCAGACCTCCACAAAATCTCCAGGAATTTCCCAACTTGGTACTAGAAACCCTAGGCCTGGCACTAGTGATTTTTCCTTCGAAGTCCAAATCAGCCCTGGAAAGGGCCTTGCCCCTTCCCACTGACTTTTAATATCAGAACCAAGACTAGAATGTATGGTTGCCCAGTAACAACCACTGAGGGAATCCCTTGCTTAAAGCTACAGGCAGTCTTTTTATCATTTGGGATTGTTTTTAAGCCCCACCCGCAATGTATTGGTTTAGAAATCACATTTTTTTCTATAAACTTGGGGCATTTAATTTATTTATTTATTTATTTATTTTGGGATTTATATCTTGCCCTACCCATACGGCCCAGGGCGGCAGGTTTGTAGAAAGATCTGTCTTGTCCATTCACAGCTCCAGTCACCGTATTTAAGTACCTTCAGAGTTGGCTGACTTTGCTTTAGAATATACAAGTGTGGGCCCACAAGACTAGCAAGGGGGGGAATCCCCCCCACTTTTCTCACTGGGCCTAGCGCAGCTCCTGCGATCCTCTAATGACCACTGGAGGTAGGTTCGTTCTCTGTAGTTGCACAGAAAACACTATGTTACAGTTTGGGAAATTAACCCCCCCCCCCGTGTGTGTGTGTGTGTGTGTGTGTATGTATATTAGGGCTGCCAAGTGGGGGCGGGTGGCGGGTAAACCCCCGCTTTTGGAGGCCTGATTTCTGCCGCTGCAGAATCGGGCCCCGGGGGGAACTCCGCCCCCCGAAGCGCAGAGTGGCTGCGTCACCAGAGGTGACCAACCACGTCGATCACGTTGGGGGCGTGGCCCCGATCATCAGAGGGAAAACTTTATGGTTTCAGGGCCACGCCCTCAACGTGATCGATGTCGCACGTCACTTCCGGTGATGTGCTGGTGGCACGCGCGCGTGCAAAGCCCGCACACGTCCACCTACGGCTCCCGGAAACCGGCGAGGCTCCCCCGCCGCCAAGATAAATAGACTTGGCAACCCTAATATATATATAAACACACACACACACATTTAGGATTTTTCTGCAAACTTGGAGGGGGGATGTTCCTAAATTTGCAGAAAAATATGATTTGGGTAAGTGTGGTCTCGATCCACAGATTAGATATTTGTAGAAGGGAGTCACACTTGAGAAACAGATATATCGATGATACAGTTTGAATCAGCATATTTCAGTGCAGTACCTGCAGTGTTTGTACAAAGCTGGCATATGTGGAGTTTTTAACACTTTATTGATACAACGCTTGGTATGTTCAATACTCAAACTTCATGGTGGGTTAACAAGTCTTAAAACTGGGCTGTTTGTAATTTGAGATTGAAACCTTGTTAGCTGCTGTGTGAGACAGGATGGTGTACTAGGTGGATCACTGGTTCTGATCCAGCAGGGCTCTTCTTACGTTCTTAAACCTTACTTCTTTGTTACCTGAGCAAGGAAATTGTATATGAATTATGCTTTTACCATGTTGATGGTCAGGATATGAACAAGTTGAAAAATCACTTTTATATTTGGTTCATGCATAGGAATTTCTGAAGAGAGAATGTATCTGTTCTCTTGCCTCTTTGCGGTTCACTCCAGAAGTAATTCGTTTGAAAACTAATAATAATCAGTTTAAACTTGTAATAGCTTTTAATGCTGACTCTTTGTTTACTCTTGCGACCCTCATACAACTAGCAGTAAAATCTAAGCATAAGGAAGATTAAAGAGAAACATAAGGGGAAATTAAAATATCGTTTAAGGAACATACTGGCTTTTGGCAACACTCTTGAATGTAGATAGTGTTTCCAGAATTTTCAGTGCCATAAATGTGTTTACTTCATTGTGCTAATAATCCAGAGCCAGCTTTTGCTCTGTGTGAAAACTCCAGCCAATTTCCAGGTAGTATTCCACGCATTACCATGGTATCTGTCTCCAGTGAGATAACAACATAGCTTGTGGAACTAAAAAAACACACAAGCCATCTTGAGTCTTTAAATGCTTTGCATTCATGTTTAAGGGCCCATCCTAACATTAGGATAAAAATCTAGCCTTGACTGAGTGAGCACATAGCCAGCAGTGTTCGGCAAAATTTATTCTTGGTAACCTGACTTCCTCTGTAAAACACAGTTCTCATTCCCCCCGCCCCCCCAGTTTACCGCTTAGGCTGCCATTTACAGGGGTATTTTGGTTTAATTTTTCCAACTGTCACCTATAACTTAAATTTAACACTAACCAATTAATTGCTCATAAACTACAGAGTTGCCTGGGAGCAATAATTACTTGTAATCCCTACCATCCTGTCTTGTATTGAACCAGTGAGCTGTGAAGGCATGCAGTAATGTATTCTTGTTTCCAGTTTCCTAAGTGACTGCATTCTTGCAACCCCATTCTTTCTGTTTCTGTGCCATTCAAAGCCTCTGAACTTTTCACTTTCACCATGACGGAACTGATTTCTTAAGCGGTATAAGCGAAGTTTCTCAAAGCTCTGCTTATCCAGTACACAAGTCTTTTCATTTCAGCTAACAGCATGATAAAGCAATGCAGTATGCTTTCACTTTTCACTTGACTGTTTAAAATTATGTAACATATGGAACAATTGCCTCTTCAACTGCAGTGCAGTCATAATCAGAGTTACACTATTCTAAGCCCTCAACTTCTGTTTAGGCCCTAAACTCTGTTTAGGAATGCACTGTCAGTGTTTTCCCATAGCATTCTGAACAATCATTGTATCCATTTATCATGCTTCTTGATACCGCAGATGAGGGCTGAGGTTGGCAAACTGTCATGGCAGAAGGCTGCCTGCTTCAGGAGTGGACTGGAATGGGAAAAGGGCTCTGCCCTGCTCACCTGATGGAGGGCCAAAGAGTGAACTGGAAGAGAGGGGGCACCACTGCGCTTATTCCTTTGGGCTGCACTGTGCCTAAGCAGGTGCAGACCCTTGGGTGGAGTCCGGCTGGCAAGGAGAAGCATGGCAGTGCCTTGAGATAATGAGCATGGGAACAGCAGTGCTTGGATTTTCCCTGTGCCTGCATGGTACTGATGACAAGGAGCATGGTGGTGTCCAGCTTAGCCCTGCAGGCCAGGGGCATGATATAGGTGGTGAAGAGGAACATGGGCATGGTAGCACCCAGCTTTGCCCCATTCTGGCCTGGGGCACAGCACAGCCAGTAAAGAGGAACACCAAGCATAGTCCAACAGGTTGAAGCTGGGAGCCGCCATGGTCCTCGTTACCAGCTGTGGTGTGTCCAGGACAGCCCAGGGCAAAGCTGAACACCACACCCCTTTCCAAGGATAGGGTGCTCTGGGTCAGGTGGCTCTCCTTGGTAGCAGCCCACCAGGGTTTTGTCCAGTGAAGTAAATGGGCAATTTGCCCTAGTTTGTTTAGCAACTATACTAGAATGCTGTGGGGATGTTCAGTCTGATATGGTGTGTTGTTAATGCATTGTAGAGCTACTGAGAAGCTTTTGGGGGTTTGGTGAAGACAACCAGAAGTGTTTAAAATTATAAACTTTGCTGGTTGTCTTACATAATTGAGATGGCTGCCTTTTATTTGTCTCCCTTTTATGTATACTTTTATACACTGCATGCATATCTTAAGTTGCTAGAAAGGCAACATGGCTTAGGTATTCACATAACATACAGACACAGCCATAGTTGATGCTGCTCCATAGCATGTGCCTTCATGACACTGGCCTCTCTTCATCTTCTAATAGAGATCATTATTTTTTAAAACTAACTATCCACTTGATCCATGCAGAATTTCTCCATATTTATATCTTTCTGCATTGGCCTGTCGTGCCTTTCACTGGGTGTCTCCTGTCTTGCAAGTTGCAGGAGCTTACTGTTGCCATGAATACAGATAAGAGATTAACACAGAGAGAAAAAGTATTTCCGGTTCTTAAAAGTTCTTTTTAATTATCAAAATTGAAGGTCCACCCTTCCACCAGTGTCATGTAGAGGTTAGAGTGTCAGATGGAACTCTGGTAGACCCTAGATTCAAATCCCCCCACACATACCATAAAAGCTTGCTGGGTGACCTTGGTCCACTCACGTACTCTCTGCCTGATCCACCTCACACGGTTGCTGTGAGATTAAAATGGAGGAGAAGAGAACAAAGTAAGCTGTTCTGGGTCCCTGTTGGAGAGAAGGGCAAGGTACAGATGAAGTAAATTCGACTGCACTGGGGAGGGGTGCTATTTTTTTTTTGCCTTTGCTAGAAAGTATATTACCTGAGTAGAAGGGCTGCCTTAAAATATTAAAAATTTAATTTGTTAGTTTTTAAAACTACTTTTAATATGACAGTTTCCATGGTCTTTTCAGTATCAGGGCTGCTTTTCGTTGTTTTCTAGCACTACAATCAATAATGCTGTAAATTAATGTAGTCATTTTTTCCTCTCTTAACATACCATGATTTGTATAAAACAGTTCTTTTTTTAATCTTGTAGGGGTTTAGTGGCACTTCAGACTCTTCGTAAACTTGAGGAGCTTACTGGAAGGCCTGTTCATCATCTCTTTGACTATATTTGTGGAGTGAGTACAGGTAAATATCCCTGAAAAGGAAATGGATGCATGTTCTATTTATGATATTAAAACTCCCCCATGCTACCTGATAGCAATCTGTGCAATATTTACACCCTGCAGCACTGGGTGGTGCTGCTGTTTAAAACCAGCAAAGAAAAGCCTTGTTGCTGGTTATGTAGATGTTCCATAGAGTTATGATATGTGTGTTTGTATACCAGTTGGTTTGTAATAGAAGCCATTTTGAGAAATCTTTTTCTGCTTGCTTATGATAAAGAAGTTGGAAAAGTGTGTATCTTATTTTACAACTGTGTGGATGACCTTTCCTGACCTGAATGGCACAGTCAGATCTAGCACACTGAGCAGTAATGGCTCTAGTCAGTACTTGGTTGGGAAGACCACCAATGAAGTCTAGGGTCATTACCTAGGGACGGGCACAAACTGGAAAAATGTGGTTCATGTTGTTTCATGCTTTGTGGCCCTGCAAATCCCATTGAAAGGGTTTCTTCTCTATCCATGAACCTCCACACACGGCTTTAGAAGTTCGTGAAGGTAGACCCATCACAAACTTCAGTTCGTGAACCATGAACAGGGAAAACTTCATGACAGATTTTGCTTCGTGGTTCGTTGGTAAACCACCTCTGAACATCTCTTGCCTTGAAAACCCTACAGAGACATCATAGGTCAGCTGCAACTTGACAGCCCTTTCCAACATCAGATAAAATTCCAGCATACTGTTGGTATAACAGTTGGAATACACACTGTGTATTAATTAATGTAAAGAGCAGTGTTTATATGATAGCAGAAATCAGTAGTGATCTGTTTATTGAAATTCCTGTGTGGCAGTTTTGATACCCTATAAATTAAATGGGGATACATTCCCTTGCGTCTAGGTACACCTAAGTCTTACTGAAATAAATGTTTCTAAAAAATGAGGAAAATATGTACAGATCCATTTGGTTTCAGCTCCTTTCAAAAGGGTGGGAAGATATCCTTGCTCTTGGAAAGAAGATACGGTAACTTGTGGCAGGCAAGGATCATTATATAGAAGAGGATTACTTGAAGGCCTCCAGTGGCAATGGCACACTTGACCATGTTCAGAGAATGTTTTCTTAATACAAAACATGAGATTGTAGTTACTTCTATTTCCTAATTGGAATCAGGGTTGTGCTCAATAGCATAACTTCTGGGTACCCATTAGGCCTGCCCGTGTGGAACCCTGCTTGTCCGTACTAACCTCTTCCTTTTTACTACAGTACATATTCTTCCCCTTTGTTGATGGCTGTAGGGAGGAGTGGTAAGTAGGATGGGGAGTTACAAGCCTCACTAGATGCCAAGCCCAAAGACACAAGAGTCAAGGCCTGGTTTTAAAGGGCTGAAGCTTTCTGAACTCATGGAGTTTGTTACTAATTCTTACTAGCTGTCACAAAAAGTAATGTGAATCCAGCATTCACATTAGCAGCATTATTAGTGAAACCTACAAGCACACTCAGTTGGCATTGTTGATGGACTCTGTGGTAGTGCTGTCCCAGTTCTTTTGCTTCCACGTTCTCTCCCTGCTGTCAGGTTCAAGTGCTGTATTTGATGTTACACCGCTGAGCTCCCATCTGGTAACTGTTGTGCTGGCATGGCAGTTAAACATCTCTCTTAAGCATCTGTCAGCTCAGCAGCTTGTATAAGTACCTGCCAACCACTGTAAAAAACAAACAAACCAACTTTTAAAATATCTTAGGGAATCAGTGGTTGATAAACAATTGTAAAATAGCTTATGTCTCTTTCTGAAGTCATTACTTCTGTTTTGGTAAATTCCTCCAGTGCTGAATAAATACTTTGGGTGAGATCCAAAGGTTCCCTCCCAGTAAGTAAGAGGCTTTCTTAGAAGAAGCCTGTTGGTTAGCAGGAGGGTGTGTTTGGATCCAATCTGAAACATTCCTAATTTATTGTGAAATATGCCATAAAAATATGCCAACAAGCATGCTGTTCTAAGTGGCGTAAATTAGCTAAAGCAGGCTTCAAGACTGAATTCAAAATCTTGATCTTGTTGAAAGACAAAAGACTGACTTGTTAAGATTTTATACAAATTCTTCTGTCTCCCTTGGAAGTAACAGAGGATGAAGTTTTTCTGGGAGAGCCATATTTTGCAACTAATTTTTTCTCCTGTATTTTGTCATTCAGCTTATTTTGGGGTCTGGTCTTCCTTTTGAAGTACTTATGTTTAGATTTATGGTGATATGTTCCTGACTTATAGCTACAAATTCCAATTCCATTCTCTTGCCACCAATACCTATTGTCTTTTTTCCTTTCTTTTCTATTACTGTTAATTCAGCCCAGTGGTCTGGAACAGCCACAGAGAGTTTCTTTAAGCAATGGAAAGGTACCCACATAATGGGGTCTCATCAACAAAATATGAGAGTTTAAGCAGTTGTTTTAGAATGTTTCAGTATTTCTACAATGGCAGCCTAAAATCTAGTGACCCTGTGTGTATCCATCTTCATTGCTCAGTACCCTAGAAGTCTCAGCAGAGTTCTTACTAAGTAGGGGGGAAATCAGCTCCTGTCTAAGTTGTAAAAATTCAGGGCAACTTAAAAGTATGTGGTCAATGGATTCAGTTTAATTAATGTCACAATTGCATGTTCTCTCTGAATATGGAATACCAGCATATCTGCTTGCCAAGACTGCAGTTGGTAGAGTGTTAAGACGTGCCAACATATAGGCGCATCTATATTTGGCATATGTTAGATCACAAAAATACATCGGGATGCTAACTGGTAGGGGAATCCCAACTGTGAAGGTTGAGCAAATCCTTCTTGACCTTATGGCTGTACTTTTATAATCCAGATGTTTCAAATGAATTTCAATCAGATGTCTTAGTTCATTGACATTTACTCTCCCCATCAATTCTATTGAAATCCCTTGGCATATTAGCTTATCATTCACCAGTTGCTCTTATGTTTGTCTAATTTAATAAGACTGAGCAAACTTAGCTTTGGATCTGATTAACTTTAAATTAAAAGCCTTCCTCCATGCCCTAGCTTTGTAAGAAAATTCACCTGCTTCAGCTCTTAGAACAACACTGGCCATACATTTGGGGTCCCCCAGTAAACCATGAAGAAAGTTAATTAGCAGTTGATCAGTATCCTCAGTAACAGCCTCTATCCATACACCAGCTGCATATAACAAATGGCCAGCTACCTTAGAGTTAAGTACTTTGAGTGCTGATGGTACATATTGTCCCCCTGAGGTATAAAAGAATATATTGATCACTTTCCCAGTGCTTCTTGCAACTCTTATTACCAATGCCACATTGGTTTCTCTTCAGATCGTAATGTCAGTATTGCGCGGTGTTAGCCCACTGCAGACCAAACACGGGTGCAAGGTGATCCAATAAAGACTGCAGTCTTTCAGGCTTATGTACAAATAATATACAGTTTATTATACAAAGCCACATCCAAATCTTTACACTGAGTGACGTAATGCTCCGCTGCGCTCGCATTCCAAGAAGGAATGAACAGTTCTGTACATCACTGAATATATACAACCATTGGCCAATCAGAGCCAATGCTGAGTCACTGTTACACAGTGCTAATTAGCTCTAGCAGTAGCCAGCTAGAACCGGTCAGAGCCAGCTCTCATGACACTTAGAGCTGTCAGCTCCTGTCAGTTAGATGCCTCAGATCTACAGCATGACTTAATATACATAGAATACTGACATGTAACACTATTGTGAATGTCCCCCATGAGCACTAGAAATATCATATTTGTTTCCTCAATAAAGACTGGAGACTCTCAGGCTTATGTACAAGTATTTTACAGTTTATTATACAAAGCCACATCCAAATCTTTACACTGAGTGACGTAATGCTCCGCTGCGCTCGCATTCCAAGAAGGAATGAACAGTTCTGTACATCACTGAATATATACAACCATTGGCCAATCAGAGCCAATGCTGAGTCACTGTTACACAGTGCTAATTAGCTCTAGCAGTAGCCAGCTAGAACCGGTCAGAGCCAGCTCTCATGACACTTAGAGCTGTCAGCTCCTGTCAGTTAGATGCCTCAGATCTACAGCATGACTTAATATACATAGAATACTGACATGTAACACTATTGTGAATGTCCCCCATGAGCACTAGAAATATCATATTTGTTTCCTACAAAGTTAGAAATACCTGTGCTTTAGAATGCCCTACTCTGTGGATCACCTATTTTGATATCTACTTCTAAGTAATAAAAAATAATCCAAGTTACTCCCCCTCTTTACCTAGTTTTGTTCTGTGCTAGAACGGCTCATATACTAGGATGAGAACTAGAAATGAAGCTATCTGCTAAGCAGGACAGAGAAAGATCTTATGAAATAAAAGCTTTTGAAAAAGAGAGTCTATAGCAATCTCACAATCTTTTCTTGGGTCTTCTAGCGGATGATCAAGCTACTGGTAGTTTGTGAGCTGCCTGCTGGAGTCTCCTACCCTACTCCATCCTAAAGGCTCATAAGGCTGTAGTGCTGGTTGCTTGCTTAGGAAACAGTAGTGATGGTGTGGATAGGCAAAGCTGACAGGTGAAAATAGTTACAATTTCACATCCATTTCATGCAGTAGTCTCAAAACAACTTCTGTGTTAACATTCACTTCAAATCTGTTTATGGGTTACTGCAGCTAGGTACAATGTTTTCAGGGTTTTGCCTCAAGGGTTTGACATTGGTTACAGACTGTCTATCTAAGGATCTTCTTCCTTGATATCTGCTTTTCCATCTCTTCACCTTGATGATGGTAGCAGGGGAGCCCTACTTACAAACTGCCTAAGATTATTTTCTTAAAATCTCCTGTAAATTGCTTACTCATACAATTCCAGAGCAGTATGACTGCAAAGAAACAAGCAAGAAAGGGGAACCTAATTCAATTTGCCCACAGGCTTGAGTCACAATATCAGATCTGCAAATCTTCTATCCTCCTGTGCTTTCATTTGTAAAGGAAATCAAAATGGGGGAGAGGGGTTGGTTGGTATTCAGACTGGTATAATGTTGGGCAACAACAATGCACTAACAGGGAGCCATAAATCTTATCATGCCTTGCTGACAGTTTCCTTGTTCATGTATGCTTGACCAATAATCTGGTCCTATCTGGTGGAACGAGCTCCCGGAGGAGATCAGGGCCCTGCGAGATCTTATGCAGTTCCGCAGGGCCTGCAAGACGGAGCTCTTCCGCCAGGCTTTTGAGTAGTAGCCGCCACCATCACTGTACCATCACCGCGCTGCCAATTTTGGCAATGCGAGCTGGCCCTGGAACTGAAGAACGGACATAGCGCAGACTGATCAAGTAGAGCTAGTAGAATTTTGAAACATTGTATTGCAGACCACATCTTGGATGTTGTTTTGCGAGCACCAATTTTAAATGTAAATGTAACTGATTGTTTTATCTGGTTTTTATTGTTATGTATGACAATTGCCTCCTATCAGCCGCCCTGAGCCCATGAGGAAGGGTGGGATATAAGTCAAATAAATAAATAAAAAAATCAGTCATTTTTTTCTTGCACACTAGGTGGTGCTGTAAAGGAATGGTTAACTATAAATCAATTGTATTAGTATATAATAAAAGTTCAGTTTTCTCAAAGCTGCAGCTTTCTTTACATCTTTTTAAAATACTTGTGTACAATGATAATGTCACTTTTGTTACATTAATATGTTTAAAAAACCCTTTTTTCATTAACTAAATACCTTTATTTACCAAAAGGAAGATCACCTTGACTGAAAGACAGTTCCTCTAAAAAAGTTATACATAAGCTTGATATAGCTTAACTCTCATTAACATAGACAAAACCTGCTATAATTTTATTCATATAATTCTGATTTGATTTTGTTTAAATGTGACTGTTCTTTTATTACTAATAGCCATATTATACAAATCGTTGTGTTGAACTGTTATATGTTTACCCATCTGGTTATCATATAACCTGCTTCAAATTAGTCAGTATTTCTTTTTAAAATGTATTTCTTAATTGCTGTTGTTGGTTTCAAAACAAACTTTCAAATTAGGGCCAAAAGCCTCTCTTCTTTTTTGTCAGAAACACATTTTCATGGGCTGGCACTCTCATATGCCAACCTAGGAATCCTTACTTTAGAGCTGTGCTAATTGTTGAAAGTTCTCTCTTTCCAACTTTTTTTTTAATTTGTCAATATTTCCAGGTGCTATATTAGCATTTATGTTGGGGGTATTTCATATCCCACTGGATGAGTGTGACGAACTTTATCGCAAACTTGGAACTGATGTATTCAAGCAAAATGTCATTGTCGGGACTGTTAAAATGGGCTGGAGCCATGCATTTTATGACAGTGAAAGCTGGGAGAAGATGCTTAAGTAAGTTAAACCTATTTAAATATTTGTAACAAATTGTTGGCTGTTTGTTTCCTTCAGTGTAATTTCAGAACATGAAACAGAGTTCTAACAAAGATCATAAGTTATGCCTTCCCATCATCTATGGATTTGCATGACAGCACTTATACTGGTGCACAATATTAGTAGCATTGCAGCAACATGGCGAAGTTGCAGATGGATACGTGACACTACCACCATTGCTGCTCATGTTCAGACTACCCAGTTATTTGAAAACTCCTGTATTTTCCTGGTTTAAGGAATGAAGTGAGCTGGAGAACTTTACTTTCCGTTGACATGCCATCTGTTCCATAGCTCTGTTCATGATAATTCATGTTGTCACTGAACAGTTTTGCTGTTAGAAATTAAGTTGAGGTATTCTCCCTATGTACACTCATCTTTCCAGTTGGTATACCAGAACATTTTTTTCTCATTGCTCTTTTTCCCTAAAAGCTAGCAAAACTCATAATATTGCAGAAGATAGTAATATCTTACCGAAGCATTTTCAAAAGGCAACAATCACATTTTCATTCGTTTTTTAGTCAATACAACTTGGCGTATTAAATTTGAAAATATGTCTGAATCAGACATCTTCCTCTTTCCATTTCTGGAAAAACCAGTATTTGAAAAATGTCCAGCATTAATGTTGGTGCATTAACCTGTGTCACAGCCAGCATTAACATATGTCACAGCCACAGATTTTCTTGCTTAATCAGCTTGTATGTAATGCAGAGTTTGTATGTTTGGTTTTAAGGTAATAGGCAAATAGTGGGTTGGTGTCAGTGTTCCAAGCTGAGTTAGTGTGAGCTACCTCATAGTTTTTTAGCCTCCGGCTCAGACATTTTGGTTTTAACTCAGGAAGGATGGCTCCAGACCAAACTAATTTAATGCAGTAGCCAAATTGCTCGCTCACAACTTTAATGCCAGTAGCTCACAAAGTAGAATTTTTGCTCACAAGACTCCACAGCTTAGAGGGAACTTTGGTTGGTGTACCTTTCATTTTGTAGCTGTAGACTCCCACATTGCACCCAACACTATTCCTGGAGGTCTTCTATACCTGGGGGGAGGGGTGGTGTTTTGGAGGGTCACAGTGGACTGTAGTGGGAAGCAGAAATTGGAAAAAAACCTTTATCTTCCCACTATTGCTAACTACACCCCTCTGAAAAACTGCTACCATCCATGTTTAGGAGATCCCCAGGTACAAAGCATGACACAATGAATGGTGGGGAGTCAGTGATAATCTTCTATTGGTGGAAGCATAACAGAAAATAACAATAAAATACCACCCAATATTTTTGTATTTATATATAGCCCACCTTTCCTGTTCAAGGGGATTTCAGTGTCCATATTTTCAGGCTCTGGATCTTCCCATGTATGAATTCTGTTTATGTTACCCCTGCTGTCACCCACATAGACTGATATTCAATAGTATCTCTGAATACACTAACTTCTGTATTTTGCAATTTATAGACCAACATTTCTTTCAGTTGTTTGGAAAAAAGATGAGCTTATAAATGTTTGAAATAAAATATTTGGGGCTGTGTGGCTAAGGGGAAGGTTTTATAGGCAAGAACAAAGGTTGGGGGAAACAGTAGTAAGTAATCCTAAATTATGGCTCATCCTTGTGCCTTGACTGGCCTCTCTATATTCTATTGATGTTGTGGAAACCTTTGCACACTCAACCCATTTAAGACCATGATAAAAGGTATGTATATTTTTATTTCGTTAATTTATAGCCTGCCTTTTTGCCGGGGTTTCTCATACATGGCTTTGGGTGAGACCCACATGAGACCAGGTTTACATCTTTGATGAGAAACTTGGGTTTAGAAACTTTCTGACTCCATTATTAGTTGATTTCAGCCATGCCTCATTTATAGAGAATGGGTTCCAAAGGTGCACTTTGGCAAGCTGAAGATAGGGGTATATCCTCAAGTGTATTGTTTCTCCATGCCTGTCTGCCATCCCCATGCCACTTTCCTGATCATTCTCCTGACCGTCAGGAGTGAGTTTTTGAAGGTGAACTAGTACCTGAAACTTTCGACAGATAGTTCCCTTTTAGTGGACTTATCAGTATGATATGAAATCCAAGTTTCTAGCTACTTCTGAATTAATGCGTGGGGCCTTTGTTTCATTGTCTTAGTCAAGAACTGTATGACCTTCATATATTACTGGATAGACCAGTGGTCTGACTCAGTAATAAGGCAGTTTCATGTGTTCATCTGAATGTTCAAACAGAAAATTCATAGGGACATTTCCAATTAAGATTTTTCTGCCCGCTCCCATCCTATTCAATGTAAGTGTGCCTGTAAACTTTTTGTATGGCCACTCAGATGAACACATGAAACTGCCTTATATTGAGTCAGACCATTGGTCTATCATTTATTTATTTTAAACATTTATTAGCTGCCTTTTTCCCTTGTGGGACTGAAGGCAGCTTACAATGTAGATAAAACATTATAAAGAACACAATAAAAACAACAGTCATAAAACCCATAAAAATCACAGTTTAAAACTCCAATTGGAACTGCCAGTAAAAAAAAAATCTAAATCAAAATGCACTCCTAATGAGGGGGACAGGGAACCCTGGGGAGGTTGTTCCATGATTGTGGAGTTGCTGTGGAAAAGACCCTTTCTCGTGTACTCACTAACCAAGCATCTATAATTGGTGGGACAATCAGGAGGACACCTCACTGCAATCTTAATTCCAGGGGAAAGACGGTCCTTCAGATAACACTCTCAAACTATGTAATGTAGGGATTTGAAGAACAAATCCAAACCTTGAATTGGGCTCCAGAGCAGATCAGTAGCCAGTGTAATTGCTGTAGTATCTGGGGATATATATTCCCGTTACCTGGTGACAACCAGCAGTCTAGCCACAGCATTCTGCACTAGCTGCAGCTTCTGAACCATCTTCAAGGGTTGCCCTTGGTAGAATGCATTGCGGTAGTCCAGTCTAGATGTAAGTAAGGCATGAATCATCGTGGCTAGATCTGACTGTCCCAGGAACAGACAGAGTTGACACACAAGCCACAGCTGGGCAAACACACTCCAAGCCACAGCAATCACCTGGTTTTCTAAGGTGACCACCCCTAAGCTGTGAATGTGACTTTTAAGGGGAATTATAATTCCTTCCAAGACAGGGGAGATCTGAAGTTCCTGATCTACCAGAGAACCTCTGTCCTGTCAGGATTATGTTTCATCTTGTTTACCCTCATCCAGCCCATTACTACTGACTCTAAGCATTAGTTTAGGACAGCAACAGCATCCTTGGAATTTGGTGGAAAAGAAGGGTAGAGCTGGGTATCATCTGCACATTGGTGACATTGCAACCCATATCTCCTGATGATCTCTGTCAGTGACTTCATATAGATATTAAATAGCATGAGGGATGACATGGAGCCCTGTAACACCCCGCAAGTCAATTGCCATGGGTCACAGGAATCCCCCAACACCATCTTCTGAGACCCCCTCCCCCATTGGACTTGCACCACTATACTACGGTGCCCCTTATTCCCAGTGCTGAGGGATGGCTTGGCCAGGTTAGCAGTAACTAGGACCAGGGCATTCTTCCTGGCGGCACCAACGCTGTGGAACGAGCTCCCTCATTAGATTAGAGCTCAACGGGACCTCCAGCACTTCCGTAGAGCCGTTAAAATGGGACTGTTTTGCCAGGCGTTCCAGTAAGAACTGATTACGCTGTTGGTGTCACACTAGCACTTTATTGTAGGATGTATTAGCTGGGATTTTATGGAACTGTATTTTATATTTTGTAATTGTTGGTTTTAACCGAATGTTGGTTTTAAATTGCTTGTAAGCCGCCCTGAGCCACTTACAAGCAATAAATAGTTCTCAGTAGAGGTCATCAACCAAGGCGACCAAAGCAGTTTTTCCCCCCAAATCCTAGCCTAAAGCCAGATTGAAATGGGTCCAGAAAACCAGTTTCTTCCAAGAGCCCCTGGAGCTGAGAAGCAACAACCAACTTTAGCATCTTGCCCACAAATGGAATATTGGAGGCTGGCCGAAAACCTTCTAACATAGTAGGGCTCAGGGACATTTTTTCAAAACAGGTTTAGTGTGTTTTGTCTACTCTGACTGGTAGCGGTTCTCCAGGAAATCAGGGAGAGGTCTTTAAAATCACATTTTAATTGGAGATGATGGTGTTTGTATTAAGGACTTTATTTATACAAAGCAGATGCTCCACTACTGAGCCCTGGTCACTCCCTTGAGGCTTCATTGTATGCAAAGGATGTTAAAAATTGTATACTTTTAAAGTTTACCCACAAACTTAGACTAGCAACAGAAGAGTTCTGCTACAGAGGATTTCCAGTTGCACAGCCATTGAGGCAAAGACCACCAGCAGCCAAAGCTGAGCATATAGATTACTGCCAAAGATCTGTTTAGAGATAGAAGGGAGAAATTTTTTGGGGGGTGTGTGCTTTGAATGAGGCCCTTGCTCCCTCTCCTACTCACACCTAAATAGCTGATCTGACTCGCATGCTGCACTCACAGGCAATCTGATGGCTTGGTAACCATACAAACAGCACCTGTTGGCTATTGCTGTTCCTCATCCCATGTAGAAATGTGGTAGAATCTTGTTCTTCGCTGGATCAGAGTAACTAACTAAATAAAATATAAGAAACAAGGTGAGACATATGGCTTGTTCAAATATAAAGTTACATTTTTTCCCCAATTTATTTAGAGACAGAATGGGATCAGATGTTATGATTGAAACAGCAAGAAATCCAAGGTGCCCCAAGGTAAATGTGCATTTTCAGTTTTTATTCTCCTGCAAGCAGATAAGATAATGGGTAGGATTCAACCACCTTTTGTGCTGGTGAGAAAGAAAGGAGGGATTTCTTGACTACCAAAAACGTTGTGCTGGGAATTATCCGATCTGTATGTACAAAAGCCAGATGGTAGGTGGGCTGTATTCAGGGTGGGGGACTGAAATACTGTAAAGTTGGCTACATCCAATCCAATATGAGTATGAATCTTCAGTAGTCCAATACAAGCTCCTTTTTATTTTAAAAGCTTCAACTGCC